ACTGGCATGCTTATTCTTTAACCCAATCCCCTTCTCCATGTAAAAAATTCGAGATGTTTGGGCCATAATTGCGGCCTCTGGGGCGACCAGAAATCCGGATTCGTGAAGATTGGTCCATAAATGTGGCCTGTATCGTGTTTACAAAATATAATGGACAGACGGACGGACGGACACACATGTCTAGATCGACTCAGCTAGTCGAGATATGACGATCGGTATACCTAAAGGTGGGTCTAGGACCAAGATTTCGCGGCGTTACAAACTATTGGGGCTGCAAAAAGCTATAATACCCTGACAACATGGTTGTGTAGGGTATAATAAGGAAGATCTTCACCGATTCGCTTTGTCCTAGTTCATACGATAGCTATACACTCCCAGAGAAACGTCCCAACATTTGAAATCAATTGGGTTATTAGTTTTTGAGTTATCGTGCCCGCACAAAAGCTGTTTGGAGAAAAACGCGTTTAAAGCTAACACAATAAATTTGATGCTAACACAATAAATCGGCTATATCTTCAAAAATTGTTGAGATTTTCACTTGAAAATTTATAGGGACATTCTTGAATTAGTGTAGGTTCAAATTAAATCAAAATAAAAAATTAAATTTTTTGAAACCGAGAATGGGTGGGGTCCCCTTTATGGTGTGTCATATATGCAAAAAACTGTCAAGGTGAAAGTGTGCACATAGTCCTCATATTTAATTACTGCTCTATCTTCTTTACTTTGATGATTTTAGTCGCATTCTCTGGGTTGTTGTAGGGTAGGATATATTTTTGCGGACAATTTTATACATAGGTATATGTTTGGACATATCACCCATACAAAGGTTTCAACCTTCTTGCCCATTTTTAAGGTTTACAACCTTTTCCCGCCAAATTGTCTGTAATTTAAAAATATGTTTGCCGATCTTTTTCGATATAGGTCCATCTTTTGACATAATCCCATTATAAAGTGGAACGCGACCCGTTTTCGGCACTCTGAAGTGGCTATAATTTGGTATTCCGGATACACGGTGAATAAAAAACTCCTTTCCAGAAGGTTTCCAATTTAGGTTCATGATTTCTACATCAATCCCATACAAAGACCCACTCAATCTGGTTTTTCATTTTACAAAATAAACAACCTACTATCAGCGATGCTATATAACCATATGAAGTACTCGACAATTTTTTGAGAAAATGTTAATACACTCCACATAGTGCAAGGTATAAAAAGTTTTGGCCGCCCGAACTTAAAGATTTTTAATTGTCTACAGATGTACTGACACTTTTTTAACATTTGAAAATCAAACTCATTACCTGAAACATAGAGAAAATTTAATGCATAATTTTGAAATCGAAATAATACACAAAATTTTAACTAATTCCAGAAAAAAATAAAAGTGCTAAGAAAGGTGCTATGTGCTAGATCACTTTTTTGGTGCTAAACTAGTTTGAAAAGTGCTAAATCTTGCACTAAAAGTGCTAAATAGGCAACACTGTCAAGGACTAACAACGGCGTGGATTTATTACACATATTTATCTCAAGGATTATCAAAGGCATATGAACAAACCGTCCATATCTTCTGGTACCTCCTCCACAAGGAGTCACCATTTGGAAAATTAATATATGGAATGTCCGAGACCAAGTCGGAAGATTGAACCCATCGTTCTAACAAATCCGATCATAGTCAAGGCTATATTTTTCTTCAATTGAATTTTACACTCCTTCTACTACAGACTGCCATACCAAAGACTTTTATCGAATAATTTTTACTCAAACAATATGAACAAACCGTCCATATGTTCTGGTACCTCCACCACAAGCAGTCAACATTTTGAAAATTAATATATAGAGTGGCCGAGACAAACTCGGAAAATGGAACCCATCGTTCTAACAAATCCGACCATAATCAAGGCTATATTTTTCTTCAATTGAATTTTACACTCCCCTCTACTACATACTGCCACACCAAAGACTTCTATTACGGATACCCCGAATAATTTTTAATCAAAAAAATTCCAGAGTTATACCCAATACCATCCGCCTCCACATAATATACATAGGTATTTTACATACATTCCCCCTCCTTTAAAATAAATCATTCATTGTACTATATAAATTCAATTCGACATTAACTTATTAGCCATTTCAATTAATCAAATAAATTGGCCTTTATTGAACCTTTATAACTTCTCCGTATCTATCCCCCGCATTAAATGTATCAATTAAATTATTGACCGACAATTACGAACGGTTTCGTTTTAATAATTAGTTAATGACAATCGAGTTTTTGACAAATTTCCATTTCGTATTGAATGCTAATGATGGGATTCGACCATGGCGAGGGGTGTGTAGGGCGAGTGAAACATATTGTTGTACCAGCGCTCACCAGCGAATGAAATGGCCATAAAGACAGAAAGGCGAACAAGCGGGCAGGCAGACATTCGGTCAGTATGGTTAACATTGTGTTAACGGTTTAGATTGTTGGTTTTCTATTAACCCATAACACATTCCTTGTGTGTGTGCGTTTATGGGCTTTCGTGTAAATGGATGTGGTGGTGGCGGTGGCGGTTGTGACTTGATTGTCCCCCAGCCAAACAACATTTGTGTGTGTCGTGAGAAAGTTTTTGGACACAGGTGGACAGTTAAAGTCACCCATCCCCTCCCTATTTCCTACACATATGTTTGTGCAGGAATTTGGTGTTCGAGCTATGAATATCTGTCAAAGGCAGATACAAATGCCAATAATGCCATTATTATTGTTGGCTTACAACATAATTTCTGTTGCATGCACACACACACATTTACATACTATGTGACTGGTATGAAAAACTTATGAAATATGAGTTAATTAACGAAGGACTATCAAAGACGTAAAACCAGTGAGCGGAGCAGTATAATCGTACGGGGCCGTATGATACCCAACACAACTTCCACGAAAATTTAACTTTCTGTGGTCCTATATTCTGAGCATGGGCAATATTTCGCGATATTTGCACTCTCTTGACCAACTAGAGGTTAACAACTATTACTAATATTCAGCACAGCCCATCTAATTACTTTTCCAGATTCTCTTCACCGTAGGTTGTGTTGTGATGTTTGGCTTTCAATTGTGGCCTATAAATCGACTCCAAAAAAAAAAAACACAAAAATACGTTTTAGGTCCACTTTATCTCAATCTCGAAAAAACACAAAATTAAGTTTTCGGTCTATTTCATACAAATATTATTATCTGATCATCACCTCATATTATAGGCGATGTTCTTGATCATACCTGAATCCTCATGTAAATTCTGAAAGCGATCAGCGTTTTATTTCCGCCCTCTAGTGTGGTAATGGGTTACTAAATAATATCTGAATACGTATGCACCTGTAAATATTTACGTGTAACTCCCACATCCGAGTACATACGACAATTTGAAGGTCAGACACTCCCCTTGGATATACTATAAACGTATCGGGTCTATGTCCTTTAGGAGTAAATATATACGCTATAGAATACACATTTTATAATTTTTCACACAAAAGTCAGGGTAGGGATAAGTAAATCGACTTTCGACTAATCGATTAATCGACTTTTTGTATTGAAAAGTCTAAAAGTCGAAGTCGACTATTACAGCCTGTTTTTGTAAAATTCCAAACGAACGAATTCGAGTGACTTACGACCAAACTCCTTGGTTTTGAAAAATATGTCATTTATTTTTGTTTTGAATCAGAAAACCTTTATAAACATAAATAAAGGTTTGGTCGTAAGTGACTCGAATTCGTTCGTTTGGAATTTTACAAAAACAGGCTGTTAGTCTATGAGAAAATGGTAAAATCGACTTTTCAAGATCGACTTTCGATTTTCTTCATAAATACTTGGTTTTTTATCACAAAGCTCAAATTTCCCAAAAATTGCACTTTCCGGAACTTCACTTTATCTTTTTAGTCGATTTTGCAGAAGTCAGTAAAAGTCGAAAATCGATTTTGAACTGTTTTGACAAAATTGGAAGATCAAAAAGTCGACTTTTTAGTCAAAGGAAATAATCAAAAAGTCGAAAAATCGATTTTTTGGTCAGAGGCAAAAATCGAAAATCCCTAAGTCAGGGTCTATTTGACCCGCTAAATATTGACCGATCTTTATCAAAACAGGCATGCTTATTCTTTGGCTCGATATGTAAAAAATCGCGACGTTCTCCATGTAAAAATTCGCGAATTGCGGCCCCTGGAGCGACCAGAAAAACCGACAATAAAGTATTTGGTCCATTTCATCCCCTAAATATTAACCGATCTTTACCAAAAACAATAGGGGTCTTCATTGGCCAAGACCCATCCAACATGCAATTTCGTGAAGATTGGTCCATAACTGTGGCCTGTATCGTGTTTACAAATTATAATGGACAGACGGACGGACGGACACACATGTCTAGATCAACTCAGCTAGTCGATATATGACGATCGGTATACTTTAAGGTGGGTCTAGGGCCAATATTTCGTGACGTTACAAACATTTGGGGCTGCAGAAAGCTATAATACCCTGACAACATAGTTGTGTAGGGTTTAAAGGGGTGGATTTATTAAAAATATTTTTCTCAATGACTTTCAAAGGCGTGGTTTTATTAAAAGTTTGTTTTTAAGGACTAACAAAGGATTTATTAGAAATATTATTTTCGAGGACTATCTGAAGCGCGGATTTATTATAAATTTTTTTTTCAAGAGAATTTTATTGTTTTAGAACCTAGGAAACTTAAGTCTAATGCTACATAAAATGACCCACATCTGGCGATATGTGCGTATGTATTGCCAATAACGACACTGATCCATATGAATTTATGTACATACATACTTATATATATACAAATATGGCATATAATTCTGACAATACTGTTGGTACATATGTACGTAGATACATCAAACACACACATACATATGTATACACATATTACACGATATATGCGATATAATATATATGATAACGTTAAATGTTGTAAGCAAATGTTTTGCATTAACGTCATTAATTAACATAATTTATTCAGTTGACAGTTGGTAGTGGTAGTAGCAGTGACAGCAGCAGTAAACGGGGTGTTGGCAAATGACAATTCTGGTGTTTGTGGAGTTAAGTCAGTCGTTTGAGATATTTATGGACTGGCTTTATTACAGGCAAATAGCCATGACAAAATAATGGAGTGAGAACAGTAAATTTGTTAGACTTCATTTACTTTGAAATTGGTAAATTGTGAGAAAAAGGCAAAAATGCACATGGATTTAGTAATGTAATAAATCCACACCTTTGATAGTCTTTGGAAAGTAGTTCTAATAAAACCTCGTCTTTGATAGTTTTTGGAAAAAATATTTTGAATAAATCCATGCCTTTGATAGTCTTTGGAAAAAAGTATTTGAATAAATCCACGCCTTAGAGAGTCCTCGAAAAATATGTTTAATAAATCCAGGCCTATTTTTAATAAATCCACTTATTTAATAGTCCTTGACAAATTCATAGTTATTGAACAAATTTATTTTTAATAAATCCACGCCTTAGAGAGTCCTCGAAAAAATGTTTAATAAATCCACGCCTTAGATAGTCCTCGAAAAATATGTTTAATAAATCCACGCCTTAGATAGTCCTCGAAAAATATGTTTAATAAATCCACGCCTTAGATAGTCCTCGAAAAATATGTTTAATAAATCCACGCCTTAGATAGTCCTCGAAAAATATGTTTAATAAATCCACGCCTTAGATAGTCCTCGAAAAATATGTTTAATAAATCCACGCCTTAGATAGTCCTCGAAAAATATGTTTAATAAATCCACGCCTTAGATAGTCCTCGAAAAATATGTTTAATAAATCCACGCCTTAGATAGTCCTCGAAAAATATGTTTAATAAATCCACGCCTTAGATAGTCCTCGAAAAATATGTTTAATAAATCCACGCCTTAGATAGTCCTGAAAAATATGTTTAATAAATCCACGCCTTAGATAGTCCTCGAAAAATATGTTTAATAAATCCACGCCTTAGATAGTCCTTGAAAAATATGTTTAATAAATCCACGCCTTAGATAGTCCTTGAAAAATATGTTTAATAAATCCACGCCTTAGATAGTCCTTGAAAAATATGTTTAATAAATCCACGCCTCAGTTGGCCCTTGAAAAATATTCTTTAATAAATCCACGCCTTAGATAGTCCTCGAAAAATATGTTTAATAAATCCACGCCTTAGATAGTCCTCGAAAAATATGTTTAATAAATCCACGCCTTTGATAGTCCTCGAAAAATAAATAAATCCACGCCTTAGATAGTCCTTGAAAAAATATGTTTAAAAAATCCACGCCTTAGATAGTCCTTGAAAAATAAATAATTCCACGCCTTAGATAGTCCTCGAAAAATATGTTTAATAAATCCACGCCTTAGATAGTCCTCGAAAAATATGTTTAATAAATCCACGCCTTAGATAGTCCTCGAAAAATATGTTTAATAAATCCACGCCTTAGATAGTCCTCGAAAAATATGTTTAATAAATCCACGCCTTAGATAGTCCTCGAAAAATATGTTTAATAAATCCACGCCTTAGATAGTCCTCGAAAAATATGTTTAATAATTCCACGCCTTAGATAGTCCTCGAAAAATATGTTTAATAATTCCACGCCTTAGATAGTCCTCGAAAAATATGTTTAATAAATCCACGCCTTAGATAGTCCTCGAAAAATATGTTTAATAAATCCACGCCTTAGATAGTCCTCGAAAAACATGATAAAACATGTTTAATAAATCCACGCCTTAGATAGTCCTCGAAAAATATGTTTAATAAATCCACGCCTTAGGAAGTCCTTGAAATAAATCCACGCCTTAGATAGTCCTCGAAAAATATGTTTAATAATTCCACGCCTTAGATAGTCCTCGAAAAATATGTTTAATAAATCCACGCCTTAGATAGTCCTCGAAAAATATGTTTAATAAATCCACGCCTTAGATAGTCCTCGAAAAACATGTTTAATAAATCCACGCCTTAGATAATCCTCGAAAAATATGTTTAATAAATCCACGCCTTAGATAGTCCTCGAAAAATATGTTTAATAAATCCACGCCTTAGATAGTCCTCGAAAAATATGTTTAATAAATCCACGAAAAATATGTTTAATAAATCCACGCCTTAGATAGTCCTCGAAAAATATGTTTAATAAATCCACGCCTTAGATAGTCCTCGAAAAACATGTTTAATAAATCCACGCCTTAGATAAGCCTCGAAAAAATATTCTTTAATAAATCCACGCCTTAGATAGGCCTCGAAAAAATATCCTTTAATAAATCCACGCCTTATATAGGCCTCGAAAAATATGTTTAATAAATCCACGCCTTAGATAGTCCTCGAAAAATATGTTTAATAAATCCACGCCTTAGATAGTCCTCGAAAGATATGTTTAATAAATCCACGCCTTAGATAGTCCTCGAAAAATATGTTTAATAAATCCACGCCTTAGATAGTCCTCGAAAAATATGTTTAATAAATCCACGCCTTAGATAGTCCTTGACAAATTGCCATTAACCGAAATGTCCTTAATAGTCAGTGTCCTTAAACATTGTCCTTAATAGTCCTTGAAAAATGAATAGTTATTGAAAAAATATATTTTTAATAAATCCATCTCATTGCTTGCCTTCGATTCCAAATTCTTGATTAACAGGTTTTAACATCAAATCCCTAACCTTTCACAACAAGTCGCAACTTTTTTTATCGGGCTTCAAACCGAAGTCAATGGCATTTCGGTTAATGGCAATAACACCACGCATTGCGTTCAATGCCTCCTCCTTTTAATGTTCCACAATCAAAACAACATTTTTTTATTTACTGATAAAAATATTTTGAAGTTCAATGCATTATTCGCAAAGCCATAGCGACACAACTCTATTATGAAAGGTCAAAGGTTAGTGCACAAAAAATATGTGTGTGTGTGTGAACTAACTTAAAATAGGATTTTTGAACTTGCAAATATTGTTCAATAACAATTTTATTTTCTGATGTCATTCAACCTGTTTGTCTATACAGCCCAACTTCTCTACTGTGGAGATCTGGGGACCCCGCAAATTAAGAAATCATGGCAAAACTCCACTATTCATCATAGGACAGTTCGTCACAGCGAGGTATGACTGTATGTATTTGTGTGTGCGTGCTTAAACAACATCGACCCTAACCTTGGCTAACAAGTGAATTCTGTTCTGTTTGTTATTGGCTAGGTCCTGTCATTGTCGAGTCATTGCCTTGGCAGCAGTACGAATAAATAACAAATACGACAACTTTCAGTTCATGGTTCGAAAACTAAATACAAACTAAATTATGAAGCAATGTCAAAACACTTTAAGTTCAATGTTTGTTTTATTATTGACACGTTCGGTACATTGTCCATACAAACAGAAAAATGAGGAGGTCTGATATAAATAGAAAAAATAATAAAAAAATATTCTTTAAAAAATCCACGCCTACCATTGTCCTTGAAAAAATAATAAAAAAAATATTCTTTAAAAAATCCACGCATATCATGGTCCTTGAAAAAATAATAAAAAATATTATTTAAAAAATCCACGCCTACCATGGTTCTTGAAATAATAAAAAATATTATTTAAAAAATCCACGCCTACCATGGTTCTTGAAATAATAAAAAATATTCTTTAAAAAATCCACGCCTACCATGGTCCTTGAAATAATAAAAAATATTCTTTAAAAAATCCACGCCTACCATGGTCCTTGAAAAAATATTTCTTAAAAAATCCACGCCTGCCATGGTCCTTGAAAAAATAATAAAAAATATTTAAAAAAAAAACAAAAAATATTTTTTTTAAAATCCACGTCTGTAATGGTCCTTGAGAAAAATAAGTTTTACAAAACCACGCGTGTCATGGCCTTAAAAAACTATTTGCTCTAAATCCACGCCTGTATTGGTCGTTGAAAAAAATTGTATTTAAAAATTCAAGTTTAGAATTGTTCTTAAGCAAATGATTTAAAAATCCACCCATATTTTAACAATTAAAATAAAGACATCAATTAAATGATGTGCGAAAAAATCTCTTCAAAATTAAATCAAATAAAATGTTCATCCTGCAAATATTCATACAAAACGCACCGACACTCGCACACACACTCGAACATTCAGTCATAGACCTTTTTTTGATTACTGCACAAGCCAATGAACGACCCTGTGACGAAAGTTTTGATGTTGGTCAGAGCACAGAATATCTCCTCAAAGCGACAACGACGATGACTACAACGACGATTACCAACGACAATGAACTCAGTGGCCTCGGTCTAAGGTCATTGTTCAAAGCTTGTTCATTGCTGTTGCTTGACTGGCTGCCTGGCTGTGTGTCATCGTCGTCAGCACCATCATCGTCATCCTCATCAATGACTGCCTTCTCTGGTTTGTGTTGATGGTTAAAATGTGTGTATTTGTTGTTGTTTTGCAGTGCATGTCGACCTCCATGAAGCGCCGACATCCACATCCCACACACGCACAGCACAGCCAGTCTCTTTTGCATAGAAGAGAGTAGCCTGACAGCCTGCTTGCCTGCATGACTGACTGACTGATAAAACAATTCACCTACAATTCCATTGTAACCAGTTTCAAATAACATTTTTCGCTTTGGCCAATGGAAAAAAAGAAGAAGAAAGAAAACAGTTGCTGCTGGTGACGATGATGATGATGAGAAACGAAAAAAATGTCTGTATTTGGCCATCAATGGCCAAAAACAACATTCATGGAAACATGGTAGCTTCTTTCATCGACATGGCAACTAACTGTTTTGTCTTTCGATCGGTGTGTCTGTTCATTGGCCCCCATGTAGTTGGCATATTACCATGAAAAAGGGAACATATGGTTTTTGGATTTAAGTAACTTCGTTTTTTTATGGGAAATGTTTTTTATTGCATTGCCAAGCTTTCTTGCAATGGATTAAAAAATTTTTTTTTCGTTCGAAAAAAATTTTTTAGGGCCCTTATAGGCGTGAATTTGTTAAAGAATATTTTTAAGACGCAATATAGGCGTGGATTTTTTTTAAATATTTTTTCAAGGACCAATATAGGCGTGGATTATTTTAAAAAATATTTTTCAA